AAAGCCATCCGTCATTCACTATCCTTAGGAACATGTAGAGTTCAGCTTCTCCGGAGAGCGCTTGTTTCATGCCTAATTTCCTGGTCGACTTCCTTGAATGCTCAAGGAAAATCGCAATACCAGATTTCCCCATACCCCGGATGTCTTGAAGCGTGGACAGATTGTCTGGCTGGTGCATAACCCGGGACTTAGCTTCATCCCAGGACTTGATGATATCCATCAAATCACGGACCAGTAAGTACTCTGCGTCCTCAGGGGCGCAGGCCACGGCATTTGCAGTTTCATTGCCCTCATTGGTAGCGAAAACTTGTTTTCTCAGATCGTCAATGCTTCCAAGCTCTGTCACATCAAGATTGGATAGCAAAGTACCCACAGTACCGAACAGCCATTCGTCAGCTTGGGTAAAACTCTCAAGACGATCCTCGTAGTATTTGTTCAAGTCGATATTGACCTCTTCACTCTGGAACGAGACATCCTCGGTAGCTTCACGAAGGCGGGTCCTCCTGGCTTTGGCCCGTATACGGTCTGCCTGGTCCTCGGTAACAGCAGAGGCAGATGACCGTTTCCGGCCACTTGACGGCTTTACATCAACTTCATCTGCATTTGCAGTCTCCTGCTGACTTCCAGGATTAGTGGGCTGAGTTGATTGAATCTCTAGCGATTCCATGAGCTGTTTCTCTGCCCGCTGATCGATGGATGAATGGTCATCGACTTGCTCTGGTACAGCATCGGGTCCTTCGGACTTCACTGTGGGTTGATGCTCCTCAGACATGACAACGTCCTGCTGCTGGCTGGATTTGCCATCTCCAGATTGTACATTTGAGGCTCGGCGTTGAGATGCTACGGCCTTTGTTTCAGGACTGAGAGTAGGCAGCGATATACCAACTGAAGCCCCAGGCCCAATCTCCGAGGCGCCGATGTCTTCATCAGCAAGCCTTTGAAGTATAGACTTGCCAACGGCGGCCCATGTAGGGCTAGCTGGTTTGATATCATGACGAGAAGCCTGTAAGGCAAGAGGGTTCGTTGACGGATCTGTGTCTTGCAGATCTATTGGAAGAGGAGGGAGGTAGGGATACGGGTCTGCCTGGCGCTGTAGGAATTTGAGAAGAGCCTTTTTCGGCTTTTTCAAGGGCACTTGAGCCACAGACAGCCTATCAAGCAGCGACCGCAGTACTTCACGCAGGCGCTCTTCAGCAAATGTTTCTTCTAACCCTAGCTGCTCTGTCCGAACCTCTAAGCGGTTGTCATCGTCTGCTAGTACGCTCTCCAGGCAGTATCGTGTTAGTCTATAGCTTTGTAAAGCACTACAGAGTCTTGCGCTCTGTCTCCAGAGGTTCAGATCCGAGTCGTCACGTTCCAGGGCTTCTGCGAACGATGTCAAGGCGGCGCTAGTTCTTTCCTTGACTTTGCTCCGGGGATCCTCGGCAATGTTAGACGACTCAGCGATACCCTGCAGAGCTGCGCGTAACGCATCCAGGATATACTGTCCGTGGTTTTTGTACGATAGGTATATGGTTTGCATCAGCGTGCTTGATGTGGAGTCACTGATGTCAAACTCCGCGAGTGCTTCAGCCGCACCCGCCGCCACTGTGTCATCATACTGCGGTTCGGATTCCTGAGTGGCTACTCTCTTGTAATCAGAGATTGACTCGGGATATTTGAATATCTCCGAGTCCAACAGAGCATCATATGCCTCTTTGGCCTGTGCATAGAATTGTGGACCCTGGGAATGGAGTTTCAGGGCATTTTGATAGAGCTTAAGCGCCTCCTCGATTTGAATCTCTTTGGTGTCATCAACCTCTTCCTCGATAGCTTCATCCGGTTCAATATTCAAAGCTGCCCAGCTGGACATAATGCCGGTTTAATGGCAGAGCGCAGCGAGCTCCCTGATACTAGTAGTAAAACCGGGCCGGCTAGACCACATTTCAAGAGGAAAGACAAGCAACCCCCGGCTACCTGAGGGAAGGCCCAACCTGGGAGGTGGTAATGCCGTGGAGTGGAGATTGAGAAGGTGAATGGAAGGAACGGAGAGTCTAGAATTGGAGACTCGATAATGGAACTGGAGAAGGAGCCCGTGACAGACACGCGTTGCGCGGGCGGGAATTACCGAAAGAGGCAAAGGCGGTACCGGGGTACCTGACCCAGCAGTTAACTGCCTGAGGAAGCGGCCAGGCATTCATCGATCGTCGCCATTCCGTTTGGTCTTGAACAACGACCTGCGCTTTCTGCTGCGCCTCATTGTCTTCAATTTCTCCCGTCGTGAAAGCGCCTTCGTGCTTCCTATCCTCCTTGGTTCCCCCTTGTGACCATCCCTGAGCCTCTGTCTGCGCTCCTGCCAGCGCCATGGTCGCGCCAGCTGTTCCCGAGTATGTCTTCCCCTCGTTTACGTGTTCTATCACTCGCTATCAATCGGCCAATGGGCCCACTATCATTGACCTGCGACTGACCCCTGAATGTTTCCCCAGGATCTATGAGGAGGAGGAGAACATCTACGCCGCCGTCGATGCCCGTTCCGAGTCCCTACAGAACCTCCGGGAATTAGGTCCCCCGGATTTGGTTTATCTGGTTAAACAGCCCAAGACCAACGCCCATCACCAGGTACGTCGCCGGAACTGCGGGCGCAGACTTTCATTGACAATGGGGAGAAACAATGACTAACTGAATTGTCTTGGGATTGGAATACAGACCGGCGTTTATCACCATGTCACCGGTGTCGATGCCTCTTCCTCCGCCAGCTTAGCCGCCTATGTAAATACGCTTACATTCTCTCCGCTCGACAAGACACACAAGGTGGTTTCGGGGATTTATTGGTTAGAAAGATACTCGCTTGGATGTACTTATCGTTGCGCAAGTGTTAATGGATGAACAGCTGCTACAATGCCTTCTCCCACCTGGACATGCGCGTCGAAGTCAAAATCCCCGGCACTTTGGAAAGCTACTGCATCGATGAACGCGGAGATAAGCGAGTTGCGACAGAAGCCCTTTGGCTGGAGACATTCCTGTGCGGAATCCTGCGAGCCTACTCATACGCGGACAATGGTGGTGGCGATGCGATCAGAAAGATAGTCGGGGTGCGTCGGTTCAATCCGGTCACGAATACGGAGATGGAGCACAAATTCCTGGATGCCGCGGAGAGACTCTTCTTCTTAGGTGCGCTTCCACAGTTGACTATCAATAAAGCCCAATGCTGATAAAAAGTGCAGGAAGACAACTCAGTTCGGATCCGGAAACACAAGTCCCGAATACTGTCAGCAACCACTTGACGTCCGGCCTTCTCAAGTACATCCAAACAACAGGACGCTACACTTCCGGTATCAATCTTTTCGAGAAGCTGCGGACACGAGATGTAGAGGTCTCGTCACTTCTTGCCCGAGTTCTTATCATGGCAGACGAGGAGGTGCAAGCCGTGCGATTGATGTTCGACGCCTTGCAAGATGTTCCCATGGACTATGCCCTGCTTGACTGCCAGGCTGCTTTCTGCCAGGGCAAAAGCGAGGGTGAGATGGCCCTAGAGTGTGCGAAGCGAGCAGTGACTGCTGCTCCAAGCGAGTTTAGCACTTGGGCACGATTGGCAGAGGTCTACGTCGGCCTCGAGCAATGGGATTTGGCCCTCCTAACCCTGAACTCTTGCCCCATGTTCACATACCAAGACAAAGACACGCCTCGTATGCCCCAACCGTCTCGCATCATGCTCCCGATTCTTGCTGAGAGCATGCTGGACGAAATCGACGAAGGACAGCCCAAGCAGGGTGATCCCCACGACTACGTCCATCCGTCACTAAGAAGACTCCACGCTGCTGCCTACCAGGGAACCTTCCTAAAGGCGTACAACCTTCTCACCAAAATTGCCGCCGCGATAGGTTGGGACCAACTTCTGAAAATCCGCAGCGAAGTCTTTGTCATGGAAGAGGAATACCGTGTCGAGCGCCAGCAGTCTACGTCTAAGCCCACAACCTCACCCTCCTCTGCAAGCACATCAGACGAGCCAAATGGAAACAGTGAGCAGGAGAATGGTGCGACGCCGGAGGAGGGCGCAAACGGCACCAAAGACGAAGAAACGGAGCACTCCATCGAGAAACCAGAGCAGTCAATGGCATCGGAAGTTGTCAAATCCGGCAGCGAAGATGTAAGTCTACAATCCATCTCCCGTCAATCTCATACTAACGCGTCCGTGCTATTAGCCCGACCCCTCACACTCATCCTACACACAGTTCCGCAACAAGCGTCTGTGCGAAAGATGGCTCGATAACCTCTTCATGGTCCTGTACGAAGACCTCCGCATCTACACCATCTGGCGCACCGAAATGGCCCAGTACCGCCAACAGGCCATTGAGTACAAGAAATCCGCCACCGAATGGGAAATCCTCGGCGAGTTAGCCGAACGCCTGCACCATTTCGACGAGGGTATCGAAGCCTACCAGCACTGTCTGGCCATCCGCTTCTCCCCGAAAGCCATGCGGGGGCTCCTCAAGTTGTACGAGAAGAAGAATGACACGAGAGGAATGTTAGGCGCCTTGATCCGTCTTATCGCTTGGCAGTATCGCTGGTACTCCGAGGTATGTGCCACATTCCCCGTTGTTCTCGACGATGGACTATGAAACTAACAAGGACATCTTCTCTTATCTAGTTCTCTCCCGACCTTCTCTACCTGATCCGCAAACTCATCGAAGACGAAGGCGCTGTCAAAGTCCGGAGTATAGTCCAAGCGACGAACCTTCCTCAACCGGTCCTTGATCTAACCCATCAGTATTGCCAATTGTGCGCCACATTCCGCAGCAGCGGTAGTGATGGTTAAATCTTCAACCTAGGACAGAGTACGCTACCCTACTTTGATTAAGAAGATAGCGTAGTGTCTGCTATCTTCCATCCTTTTTCTTCCTTTACTCTTTCCCAATGATATATGACATAGAAGATACCTAAGAAATAAGGGAAGGGGCGGAGGGGGACTTGATGGTTGAACTCGGAGAAGCGGCAGAGGAAATTGTATCTATTAGAGAGGGGACGAATTAAGCGATACGGGACAAGAGACTTACTTTCCTCCTACTACTTACTACTTACTACTTACTCTGTATGGCCTTGTTGACTGATATCACCTACTGTTTGATGTGATGCGTTTTCTGTCTTCATTTCCTATTCTACATTTGTGTACTTTTCTTCATGTGATCTTATTTTACCTTTATTTTTTTCTTTCTTTCTTACTATCCTTATTCTACATTTCCCCTTTTCCCTTTATTTTGTTCATTTCAGCGTGTGCGGTAATTTCGTCTCTTAGCATATCTGATTGTTTATCATTAATACCCGGGTTGCAGCTGAAATTGAGGATGTGATTGAACTGTGGATAAAAGAGGTTGTGCTCCGTCTGATAGGTTGATTCGGTTGCCCTAGTAGCTATCTGTCCAGAAGGATAAATAGTAGTATTGGTATCTAGCTGGAGTCCCGGCTAAGCCGCCGTGCGGAGTAGTCATGCTCTTCTCCAAAGATTCCGACTCCTCCGTACCCCCCATTTACGGTGCTTCGGCAGTTGTAGTTGCAGCTACAGATACAACACGTGAATAAAAAGAAATAACAATGGCTTTGCCTAAGCTTAATGTAATAGGAGCATGTGCCTTAAGGACTATATCCTCGCAAAAAAATCACATAAATTATCAATAGAATATTGCCAGCGCGACAGCAGTCAATACTGCGGGGTCATTATCACGCCATGCTGGAAGGTCTTCACTCCTCTGCAGCAACATCGGCTTCAGCTTCCTTAGGTACATCGCCAGCCTTGGCCTTACTAGCAGCGGCGGCAGGGGCGCTGCTCTTTGCTGTCTCTTCAGGAGCCTCCTCGGCGTCTTCTTCGTCTTCGGGGGCTTCCTCCTCTTCCTCATCGACACCATTCTCGCCTTCACCGTTTTCAGCTTCGCCATTTTCCTTGCCCTCTTCTTCTTCCTCCTCTTCTTCGGGCGCCGGGGCCGTCTTTCGCTTCTTGTGAGCCGGAGGAGCTAAGATAAAAAGTATACTCGTTAGTACAAAATATGTAGTATGACTCGAGGCTGGAAGTCTGAACTCACCTTGTTCCTCAGGTTCCTCTTCGCCCTCCTCTTCTTCTTCAAGCTCCTCTTCTTCGCTTCCCTCTTCCTCTCCTTCCTCACTTTCGGCTACTTCGGAGTCCTCATACCTGTAGTAGCACCAAATCAGCCATCATATCCATGCGTAGTAAAGGCCAATAATCAATGTAGTCCAACTGATTGATGCATGCAGACAGAGGGTAACGCGACAGAATGCCACCAACAAGCACCAATGAGTGATGCGCGCAGAGTAGGCACCCGAGAGTAACATGAAAGTAGAACAGACATCATTGAAGCCGAAGCAGTAGGGGGTATTGAAGAGAATGCGCGCAAATTCGCGAACAAGCTAGAAGTAGGAAATGCAGTAAGCGACTTACTCTTCTTCTTCCTCGCTCTCGTCGCTAGGGAGCGCCTGAAGCTCCTCCTCCTCCTCGGCCTCTTGCTTTCTCTTACGGGTAGACATAGTTCAAGGCGCGTTAGGCGCTTAGGGATGGAGAGAGATTAAGAGTGTGTATTAAGGAATAAAGGAGCAGGCCAGGTCAATGGCGCAAGTATACAAATGTCAAGAGAGTCCCAGGCCAGGAAGGCGCAATGTAGGGACAGTAAGAGTAAAGCGAAAGGGGAATGAACGGCTAGTGAGAGGGGGAGAAATGGGAGAAGAATGGGAGAGAGAGAGAGAGAGAGAGGGAGGGAGGGAGGGAGAAGGAAGAGAGGGAGGGAGGGAGGAGGGAGAATTAAAGGGCAGGGCAGGGCAGGGCCAGGTAGGTAGGCAGGAGGAACTCGGCAGTGGACGAGCAGCAGCAGCCTTTCCCCCCAGCACATGAGGGAAGGGGGGAGGGACGGAATGGGTGAGCATTACTTCAGCGACGGAGAGAGTCAGCAGTAACCCTCCCTCCCAAGCATGGATGGGCACTGCCTGCGCAAAGGAAAAAGCGCGCAGTGGCAGTCAAGAGGGTTGGAGCTAAACAGAAGAAGAAACGAGAGCTGGAGTTGCGCGGGTTCCCCCCCAAAGTTGCTGTCACGGCTGGCCGTCGACTTAAGCCAACAGAGGCCGTGGGGTTTAACGTCACCCGAGGGTGGACAAGAGGGGCGGGTGCGTGTACCACCACACAAACGTCGTGAGGATGATGTTCGTGGGGTTTCCCTCAGCTCACCATGGATTGAAACAGCCCCGGGTGAGATGATCCGTTGGGTCTGAGGCGGAGTTGATCTATCCATGACGATGACTCTTGCTATCTTGGTGATGACCCGGGCCGTGTTGCATGACAAGAGAGATGTGTGGATGGATCGGAGAATCCACCCAGGTGAAAAAAAAAGGCCGAGAAGGAGATCAATGGATGGGTGAGAAAGGACAAAGATCCGGAAAAGAAGAGGAGAGAAAGAGAGAGAGAGCACAAGGTATGGTATGTAAAGTAGAGGTTACATGAGAAATACTGTGCCTGGCGAGATACAAGCAAAGCAGGATGGGGAAAGACGTGCACAGACACTCCGGGGCAAAAGGGGGGGATGTTTTCTACTGTTTCTGATGTTTTCTGACAGGTACAAACACAAACCCCCAAGACAGTGTGCACGTAAATCATCCGAGGCCGTGGAAACAAGAAGTAAAGTACCGCCCCGACACCAGAAGCAGCAATAATCATGATGTCAGGATTGAAATCCTGCGCGTATCGATACCCCGATAATAATATTTTGTTTCAAAACATGCTTGCAATCTTACCAGTTACTCCGTACATGCAGGCTAAACGCAATGCGGAAGTTCTTCTAGAAATTGAAGCACAGACCAGATTGATTGTCCCCCACAGCGGCACTGATGCTCTTTTTCCCCAATCCATTATAACCTACAATCTTACATGCGACATGCAAATTACCCGATGTCCAACCTCCCCCCCAGTCACCACTTGCTGTAACTACTGCAACTTCATATGCAAAACAGACATACATTAGCAGCCTAAAATAGCACCCCTCTCTCTCTCTTCTTTCCACCTTGCATCAATAGCAGCAATATCTAATACCTACTTCGGCGGCCACGCATAATCCCCCCAAGGCCTTCCCCCCGTCCTCTCCGCCAAATCCCTCAACGTCTCCCATTTCCACAACCTCTCCCCCGGATTAACCAATTCATCATCATCCCCCAACCCATCCCTCGTATGCATAATCTTGCCCTCGCCCATCAAAAACCTCAAATAAGGCGCCGGATCCCATGAATCCTTCTTCCCCGTAGTAACATCCCTCTTATACTCCTCCAACCCAACCTCCACCACCTCTATCTCCCCTTTTCCATCTTCACCACCTCCACCAGCACCACCCATAACCTCCGCAATCTCCACAACACTTCTACTATCCCCAGCAACATGCACCACCTCCGGCACCTCATCCACCCTCAAACTCGCCAACGCAGCAACACTCCTGCCCACATCCCCCAACGAAGTAAACGACACGGGCACCCTACTACTCCCAACACTCTCATACCTTCCACGCTTCGTATCAAACCCGAACCACGGACCGATACTATCCTCCAGGAACAATCCACAGAAGACACGACAGATCTTCACCTTCTTCGGGCCTTGGGTAAGTAGCTGCTCCGCCAGCGCCATGTGCTTCTTCTTCGAGTCCCATTCTAGATGCGGAAAGTCGTGCACGTAGTGATTCACCCCGAATTCGGAGGGGAAGTAGAGTTGGATGGATGTCTGGGGGATGGCGTGGAGCAGTTTCTCTTTGAAGGAGTGGCCGGAGGGGCCGACGGTATTGATGAGGATTGAAGCGCCGTGGAGGGCGCGAGTGATGCTGACCGGGTCGTCTTCAGTGTATTTGCGAATGGTGAGTTTGGGGTGCGTGTTGTTGGAGGGGGTGGGGAGGCCTGTTGGTGGATGTTGATGGCTGTCTTGTCGCGAGAGGAGGATGACTTCCGAGAAGCGGTTGCGTAGATTGGAGGCTAGGAAGGCTGAGACGACGTGCTTGCCTAGATGGCCGGTTGCGCCGGCGATGGCTACGACTGGGAGGGTGGTGGTGGTTTGGGGAGATGCCATTTTGTACACAAGTAGTATTGTTGGGATGGAATGGAAATGGAAGTGAGATGATATGGGTTAAGGTGTGTTGGAGCGGAATTGCTCTGCTTTATGCTTTATGCTTTATCGTCTTGTGGACCAAATGGCTTAGGCTGCCATTTGAGCATTGGCTGCTGCATGTTTGCATTGCTTCTCATATTCTGCTCCATTTAAGATGTCCATGCCTCAGCTGGACGAATTTCACGCTTAATGGTGTGTTGAATTGGCTGCAATAAGTATCGCTCTACGTCACTGGCAAACAGGACAAACTGCAATTGCATGCAATCATTGGTGGATCCTGGCAGGGAGGAGCTGTTTGTACTGAATACAAACTAGTCAAACATTCTTCTGTCTGATTTTGATGTAGTGCTTAGAACGGTATACATGGAGGTGGTGCTCTTAATCTATTATTTTGGATCTACTTTGGTTTATTTATCGATATTAATACATCCCACAAAGGCTAGTCGGATATGCTTCACGGCTCACAACTGTAGAGAGATAGAGGACGTGTACATCTACAAGCAATGTTCAAGTTATACAAAACAAACTTCCTTTCTAATCACACCAACTATGCGAAGGAAAGCCTAGTGTATACAAATTATATATGAATGGGCTTTATACAGTATATAGCTAACTGCCAGATAAACTAGATTCAAAATCCCACAACCCATGGCATGCTCATTCCTCCTCATATATGCTACTACTACTGACATCTTCAACAGTCGCACTCCTAGAAACTGGAAAAAAGTCAGTGATGATCCAGCGAACTAATTCAAAATTGTCACTCACTTGGTCCGAATTGTGAAGTACCATGAATAGGCGATGTTGAACGAATCTGCTCATCATCTACCCCACCATCATCTGATCTAGCTGTGTCGAAGGTACTATCGGTGGTATACTCGCCATCCTCATCATCACTTTTCTCTGACCCTGTGTACGTGCGATTAGGCCGCCTCAAGATGGTTAGTGGCTCGGACTGTTCATGATGTTCTTCGTCGCTCGATATTTCATGTAGATGGTGGGGTTGAGTATCCTGTTTCGCTGTCGGAACAGCTGTAATACTGCGATGTCGTATTTCAGGATCCTGGGGCTTTCCGGTCCTTGAGGGCGCAAGGTAGACCTTATCCAGGCCGAGCCCCTGCAGCCGATCTTTTATGTACTGCGGGAGGTAGGTAGCGAAGCCCTCCTTAGTGTTCTGGAAAGCTTCTTCCGAACGCGATACGTCCTCGGCTAGGCAATGTGAAATAGCCCGTTCGATGACAATCGCACACCAGTCACCCAGAGAATAGATAGATCTCGAGGATCGTTTTGATTCCCGTATTCCTCTCAAGCCATCCAAAAGAACCCTACAGTCTTGTTCAGTATGAGCCAGAAGGAACCAGGACAGGAAAGTCTGCTGGTAGCCGAGAACATCCCCTTGGATAGACTTCTGGAGATCGGATAGCCGAGTCAATCTTTCGCTCGTTTTTACCGAACGATAAATTAGCTCACCCAAGCATAAAACCTCAGTTTTATAGTCCTTTAGGTCCTGTGCCGTCTGAAGAACGGTTTCAAGAAGATCGTAGTTCCGTCCCCCGTCTTTGGGTGTCATCCACTTTGGGTTCTCCGTCTTTATTGGGAGATAGATGGGAACAGAACCCCTCCATATTGTCAGGCCGGGAAATCTGCCAAGGTGATCTCGCAGATCTGAACCTGAGGTATTGAATAAAAGCTTCCTCTCCAATTCCGCTTCAGCAATAACCCACTGTAGGTAAGGACGAGATTTTACCAGCTGTGGGTTATTCTCCTTGAGGCAGGTTGCAAGGGCTTGCGCATATTGGAGGCATCGCTTAGCAGTGAGCAAGTCCTGTCTTTCTGGTATCGAGATCGACCATGAGGACACACTGCGACTCAGAGATACTAAAACATCTAGAATGGCGAGATATGTTGACTCATCATATCGATGCAAACTCCAGTCATCCAACAATTTGCGGAATGCCTCATTGGAAGAATCAAGTTCTGCTCCGAAGACCAAGTTCCACGCATTTGCTGGACCTTCTGCTTGAATAGAAGCAAGCATTAGGTCTCGCACATCCCATACTCGCCCTTCAGTCACGAGAGCACTGTACAAATACTGCCAATTAGACCAGAAATTGAAGTCATGCTCTGGGATCAGATCGGTTTCTCGTTCCACTTGCGATAGAATCAAGAGAGCATAACGGATAACTTGCACCTGCCTATACTCTTAGTCTTTGCTTGTCTTGTCCCCTGAAAATGCCTTTGGAAAGGTCTTACTTCAGCCGAGTCCAGGTCAAGTGTCGGGTCTTTCCTCCTTAGTCGCCTTAGAGAACGCATTTGGGGCTCCAAGGATCGAACTTCTTCATATGCCTCGTGCAGCGACCCGTGAGACTGCATAGCTGCGAATCCCCGTACGAGGTGCAAGTTCGCTTGGTATAGAGATTTCGCAGAATTACCCTGCTTCAGGCTCGAGTTACTGTTGGACGTACCTAGATCCTGCTGTTGTTGCTGTGACAGAACGCGATGTAGACGCTCGTATGAGCCTTGTTCGATTAGCATGTCTGCGAACTCGATTATAACCGGCGATAGTTCCATGAAAGCACTCAGAAAATCTTGGAAATATTGTTCCGCCTCCTGAAAATGGCCCAGTCTTTTTAATCGCGAGAATTCCTCTAATAGGCTTCCCACGTCTTCCACAATGTCCATTTCATAATGGATGGTGGTATCTTTCGTTGACGAAGGAGTCCAGATGGTAGAACCGTCGTTGTGTGGTCCATCCTGTGATACCGGTAGCTCTCTAGAGAAGGTATCTGATGAAGGAAATTTGTTATCGTTGTTCTGAGCTGTAGTATCACGAATGACAATTGCTTCTTCGGAGCGTACGGGCTCCGCACGGGATAAAGGGGCATTCCTTTGGGGGACAACGAGGGCGCTGTGCGCCCTTTCGTGAACCGCTCGTTCATCCCAAGAAAAGCGGTTAAAGATGTCTTTTCGATCTTCAGATCGCCTTCTTCTGGCAGAGGAAGGCCTTTGCCAAAAGCTGTTCATTTTCAAAGAGGATTTGGAGACGAAGTAATAGCGCAGCAACAGCACATTTGCAAGAGGCCCACGAGGATTACCAAATCGTATTTGAGGTAACTACCATTTCAGCCTCGTCTTGCGTGTCTGCATTAGCGCCTCCGCGTGAGCTGTTTGTCCGGTGGCAGTGCCAGGCGTCTCCCAACAGCCCGCTGACAGGCTGCTAGCTAATCAACTATTTAACCCGTGTTGATAATCGCGGGAGTTGGGATTTTAACATTCTGCTTTCGCTTTCATCGCCAAAATCATGTCGGGGACCACCAGGACTTCATCAACCACCGTCGGTCGGGACTCGTCACCAACTTACTCACGACGATATGGTCGAAAGTATCTTGAGCTTGACAACCTTCAGGATTCCAGTGTGTGCCATCGCAAGGTCGGCAGAGCACGCGCTGACTGCCGACTTCGAACCTCCCAGTCGAAATGGGGATGCTTGGGGGAGGCATCGAGACCGGCGGGTATTGTCTACATGGATCTCTCATTTGATCAGCCCGCCGACTGTAGGCTACTGAGTGCCACGGCCAAGATCACTTTGCAAGGCGCCCCTCGGCACCAGCTCGACCTGAATAAGCCTGTACGCCTCCATCTGACCGATCACTACGGGCCAAAGTATCTCAGCGGAGATCCAAAGAATGTGGTCAAGAAAACGATCTTGCATCTTGCGCCCCAGGTCAATGTACTGGGAAACGGAGGCGGTGGTATCGGTATCGATAGCGAGAAGTCAATTACTTATGACAGCCGATGGACATTCACAGGTAACCTGCGCCCTGCGCAAAAGACCGACCCGGAATATCGCACTATTAAGTGGGAGTTACGCGAGGAGGACTCCGAGTCTCAATCAGTTCACAGCAACATGATTCACACTGCCTTTGCTTTCCAGCACGAGGGGAGGCCTTTCATCATGCGAATTGAGATTAAAGGGAAGCTGCGAAAGGGCAGGAACCGCTTTAGAGAAAGGGCCCGTCAGTTGAGGTTCCCATCTCGTCTTGAAAGTGACGAGGGATCCAGTGATATTCTGGTTTATCCAAATGTTGTGACGCAGTCGTCAGGTCCTCGTCTCGATCGCCTTGCACAGGGTCTGCCCATGGTTATGGAGAGAGAGAATTGCCTTCGCATTCCGGTGCAGATTCCTACCGCATTGCCGATATCGTTCCCGGAGGGCAATGAGAACACTCCCAGCACGGCACCGGCCAACGTCCAGCAGATCCAGAACATGCTTGAAGACTCATATACGGGGAACCTACCGGGCCTTTTGCCCGGTTCAGGCGGTTCCGGGCGCCATCCTGACACAGGGCGGTCATCAGGCTCCAACTCAGATTCTTCCTCTGAAACGTTAGTAGACGTCATAGAGTCCTGCGGTGCAGATGATCCAGTAGACGCGTGCATTTCAAAGCTTGGAGACGCTGTGTACACCTTTCAGACACCGCAAGTTGTTGGCCAAGATGCATTACAGGCATCTAGAATTGTACTGCGCGCAAATTCCAGCTCGATGGTTCCAGCAATACCGAACGGATCACCCGAACGGAGGCATGGCGAGAACGAGAGCGAAAACACAGACAGCCCTGAGAGCGCGCTGGTTCTTTTATCACGCTATCCGTCTTTGATAATCTTGATCCAGATCCTGGCCGCTCTCCTGGATTTCTTTGGGATGACAATGAAGTCCACAAAAATGTCGGACCGGCAAAGCGATAAAAGGTTCAGAGACAGGGCCATAGCAGATAGCAGATGAACAAGGCCATCGCGAAGATTGTATAACACTGATGAAAAAAAAAAAAAAAAAAAAAAAAAAGAAGTGTGGCAGTCTTATGACAATATCTTCTCCCTAAATGCCTGTAGAACCTGTAGAGAAGGGCGGATGGAGTCCAAGTCTAGTAATTACCTTTCATGTATGATTCGATGCAGACATTTCATGTATGATTCGATGCAGACATTTCATGTATGATTCGATGCAGACATGCATGTCAGCGCTAAGGATACTATCCTGAGTAGCCTCTGATTGGCACATTTGCCTGAGGCTGAGGACCAGCAATCTGCAGTATGCCAATCCTCAAGTACAGCCACTCTGCCAGCAGGGCTAGGCTAAGGACCCGTGTGATTGTCGGCTGCTTGTCCGTGCCGCACTAGGCGCCAGATCACCAGCCTGAGGGTATTTTGCAACTTAGCTCCCAACATAGCAGCAATTCTGTAGATTGCAAACGACTACTGCACAGCTCACCGGCATGAGTTCTGCACCCGGGACGGCTGAGGTTGATATTACGGCCAGTGGTGAGCGCATCGTCGAGAAGATTCCCGGATCGAAGATCGGGCAGCCCAAGGACAGAAGTCCTGTCCAAGATGGTGGGCAAAACCCCGCTGCAGAAGCCATCCCATCTTTGCTGGTTTCTAGGCCTTTTTCGAAGACACAGTTGGCTCGGGCCCGTCGGTCTCATACCAGCTCGCGTCCAGAAGTCCGGTCGCTATCCAGAGCTCGTCCTATTCGCAAATTTTACAACGTCCATTGCGGGGAAGATACAGAATCAGATTCTGACCTCTCGTACCGCCATCAACGGCCTCGAGCAACAGGCAGCATCCAACAAGGCAAATCACTTCCTCACCGACATACCGAGGTTCCTAAAAACGATCTGTACTCGTTCGACGCAAAGCAGGACCGTGAGATCGTCAAACAGCGGAAAGAGATAAAGCAACTCGAGAAAGAGTTGCATCGACAGAGACACAAGAGGGAAGAAAAAGAAAGACATCCTTCAGAGGAGGACCGAGGGTACGAAAAAGATATTTCGGAGCGGTTGAAGAGACTGGATGAGATTGAAAGGGGAGAGGCGCTAATGAAGAGAGCCGAAAGGCGCGCCGAGGAGCAATTTAAGATACGAAAGCTAGAAGAAGCCGAGCTGCAAGCCAAGAGGAAAGAGAACATTGAAGCTGCCTTGCGCGAGAAGGATTGGATGGAGATGAAGAAGAAGATCGAAAAGAAGGAAATGCGGGGCCGGATTAGGAAGGAGCTGCGCGACGAAGAGATGCGACGGAAACTCAAGGAACTCGAGCGTATCAATCATGAAGACAAGATTCGGCGTGCTGCTGTAGAGGATTATAAGTTGGCAGAAGAGCAGCGCCTTCTTGAGGAAGAGCGGCAGAAGAGGCAGCTGAATAAGGAGTATAGAGCAGCCATCGAAGCGGAGCTCGGATATTCCCTTGAGCAGGTTAAAGATATCTTAACTAAGGCGACAGGCAAAAACGTCCAGAAACAGAGTCGGGAGCGTAAGCAGGCCTTTTCGGCAACAGTTCATGATGTCTCCAGTGGAGATGAAGCAGATGTGGAAGCAATTTGACATGGGCAAGTAGTAGCGGCTTATACTCCTCTATCCATATCACACTTTACCTATACTACTATGTACGATGACCTCAATAGTCTGGATCTTACGGCCCAGGATATTATGCATGGGTTCATTGTGCTAGAAATTCAAAACTAGCCATGCTAGGGTCTAGAAGATTTTCATCTAACCCGAACCCGTATGTACCAACCATATCATAGATTAAATCCGGTGGGGGAAACCCCTGGGCCATGGCATTGGCACCCCCAGGAACATCGCTTCCTGGTCGCTCAACACCCCCGGATGCTACAACAGGTGGCCCTCCTGCTTGCCATGCGTCCCAAGAGTCGAAACGCTCCAACATCTTACCAAGGCCTCGGGCAATATGTCTCGTCAGATGTCTCTCCCCTGCAGAAACACAGTTCAGCAGCTCAATCACCCGCTCTACCAGGCGTCGCACCTGGCGGCCGTCGAGGCTAAGATATGCAGAGTTCCAGTTTATCGCAACTTTCAAGAGAAACACAGCGGAGAATGTGACCATCGTGTGGGTAAAAATCGGAACGCCAACAATGGCATCGCGAATGTCCGGCTCCTCCAATACCATATTCAAACAAGCCATAGCGGATGAGATGGCAATATTAGCCGACTCTTTGCGGTCCATAGAAAACACCGGGGTATTTGTCGGAGACAAAGCTCGCAGAGAGAGGGAGTTGAGTTGGAATTTGGCGAAGTGATAGTGAAGTACAACCCCTTTCGAGGGATACGTTCGGACATAGGGGCTATCAGCTGCAGTCCAAGCGCCACGACGGTCAGTTTATCAAAATAATCTCAGGTCAATGCCATATCTTGAGGGCGCATACCAGATCGGGGTTGCCACAGTAGCCGCCATTGGTCTATAGCTACATTGTAGACCCGTAACTGCCCAAAGTCTTCTTCTGTGAGGGCTTGTTCTGTGTCGGTACCAAATGTCCGATATGCTTCGGTCAGAATCATAAACAAGGCCACTTGTGCTAGTAGCCGGATATCCCCGGGTACTACCATTGGTGACTGCAGAAAAGATTCGTAGTTCTTGATCGCTGCATCCTCATGAATGACTGGTGGACGTCCATAGGCGATGCTAAAATGGTGGTCACACACATACAAAAGATACCAGAGCTGAGCGCGTTCATACTGATCGTTATGACCACGCATTAGCTTATGATAGCTTTGGTGGAGACCCAATTCTGTGGCTATTCGAACAGCGTGCCCAGAAAGTTTCCAACTTAATTCGGATAGCCAGAAAGCTCCGAAACAGAGAGCGCGAATATCATCGAGTGTATGAGCTCTCGTCAAAGACATGCTCGACACAAGCGATACATACTCATTGTAGCAGCGGTTGAGTGTCTCGGTTCGATTCGGTATTGGAGGGCAGCGACGGTTAGAACAGCCGCTGACAGTAACGTCGATGCTCGTCGGACAGACGTGAGGTCACGATGCACCAAGACTATCCCTCCCCAGAGAAGCTGATTCATAGTCCTGCTGAAGTAGGCAAACAGCTCTTCGGCTTCATGAAGCGAAATCAGCCCTCTGGAGATGAAGTCCTCCTCCAGAAGTGTCAGCTTCGGTTGTTCGATGGGGTTGTTCCGCAAGTTGCGGAGCTTCGTGACCTCGTATAGACTGCGCATTGGTGCTGGTACTAGCTCTCGGTCTTGTAGGTCTGGTTCCTGGGAAGGCTCTCGGGTCACATCCATAACAATACCCGGCTCCCTGGGTTTGACATCGGTGGGTGATGCCTCGGATGAGAAACGACGCTCTGACTGAGATGCCACAGGACTGGGGCCGTTCTGGCTGTCACCAGAGATAAAGGTCGATAGATCTGGAAGACCTCCTTGATGTAGAAGATGCGAGACTGCCGCTTGAAGCTGTTGTATGGTAGCCGATGCTTGTGATTTCCACCTGTACCCAGCGCAGGAGAGTCCAATCAGCCTTTATAGTCCACAATTCTCCGGAGCAAGCCATAGGCATATCAAGGACTCACATTACATCATCGTCGACAAACTTCTGCGAGAAGTCATTGACTACACATTTGATCCCGCTGCGAATGCATTTTGTGCAACTCGCCTCGCCTGATTTGAACTCGCAGCGTATTTTATGACGCTTACACTCCGCGCCTATATACCAAAAGCATTAGCTTCATACTTCTAGTTTCATCAAGCCCAAGCACACCTTGGAGCTGATCGCTGGGGCCTCGGTTGCAGTTCGGCCTATGAGTACTCACAAGCGCGGGCCTTGGAGATCTTGGGTGGCGCAGGCCGTCCGTCAGGAACGAGGGAGGGACGACGTTCATGTGGCCGTGGGGCCTCTAAGTCGGCATCTTGCGAAGAGCGCTTCATGGTTACTCGACCATTGACTAAGATCTGGTCGGGGATGCTCCGGTATCATGCAGCCAATATGGGATTGACAATAGTGGGGACGGACAAAGTCCAAGAGATCAATGTCAAGCTAGCCAAATGGTGCTGCTTGTTTGTTCGTACTAGTTGCGGCGGAACAATCAATATCCACTGAAGGGTTCAGAGGCAGGCTGAGGTGCGAGGGAAGAAAACTCGACGATAAGAGAAGAGTGGGATGGAGACAGACAAAACTGGCGATGGCGGCATACCCCGCTTCATTTGGCGCCGTTTGAGTTCCAAGCCACGAGCAATTCTTGCCCATTCTCATCGTGAAACCCATGGATACATCACTTGATTTGGTCAATCCTACAGATAGCTACTCTCTAAATACTCTACGTTTCCAGGATCTACATAGCACACTGGGAATTCAATTTTGCATGAGTTGCGGACTACTTCAGGACGTTCTGTTTTGTCTCCAGACCAGCAACAGGCACGGGATCTGGGGAATGCGGGGCACCGCCAGTCGGTATCCACGGCTCAATTGCCCCCGACCGTCAGGGTCACACCTGTCTCTGTTGTGCACAATGGCAGGCTCAGCAGGGAGATCTCATTCTCACACTGAATTTTCTATCATTTAAGGATGCTGATGTCTTCTATTTTGCAGAATGCAATAATTCATTCTAATCAGCTCCACTCACCACTCACCCCGCGCCCAACTTTCCATCACAAGCAAGCACCAGGCACCTGAAGGGGCAAAATCAATCTGCCCACTCTCTAGAATTCTGTTTTGGCATAATCGAATTTCAAAAGCAGCTGCGGATCCTCTGAGAATGAGCTTAACAGTTCCTGGGCGAAAACGTCATGGACTGGATTTTGCGCCGGGAAAAGTCCGGCTGCGGAGCACAAGCTATATTCGACCCTCGGAGTTAATGCGAGGCCATCCCACAATGACGACTGCTAGGTGAGCATATTACTGACAATGTTGTCTGCTTCATAGAGCCTTAAGAAATAACCAATTCTCACACCTACCTCCCACCATTACCGTTAACTTTCTCAATTGACCCTCCAAAGATGCAAATCCTCGTCACAGGAGCAGCGGGCTTCATCGGCCAACTCCTCGCAAAGGAGCTCCTCAACGACCCATCATACATCGTCACACTAACCGATATAAACGAGCCCCCAATTCCCACAGGCGTCGCCTACCCTCATAATGCACGATCGGTGACAACAGACCTCCTGAAAGGCGCAGACGCAGTCGTGGACAAATCTCTCGATGCCGTCTACGCTTTCCACGGAATCATGTCGTCCGGATCTGAAGCCAATTTCGACTTGGGCATGAGCGTCAACGTAGATGCTACCCGGAACTTGCTTGAGGCGCTCCGCAGAACCTGCCCCGGCGTGCGGGTAATCTATTCCTCAAGTCAGGCTGTCTATGGTCAACCACTACCCGAAGTAGTAAACGATAGTGTCATCCCGACGCCGCAGTCGTCCTACGGCGCCGAGAAGATCATCTGTGAGACTCTTATCAATGAGTACACTCGCCGTGGCTTCATCACGGGATTCACTCTTCGGTTCCCCACTATTTCTGTCCGTCCTGGTCGTCCAACAGCTGCCGCTTCGTCTTTTCTTTCTGGGATGATCCGCGAGCCGCTCGACGGCAAGGAGTGTGTCATTCCGCTGGAGGATAGGTCATTCAAGTCTTGGCTATGCTCGCCGAAAACTCTTGTTCATAACCTCGTCCATACATTGTCGTTGCCCAAGGATGCGTTGCCTCCTCATATCCGACAGATCAATGTGCCTGGTATTTGTGTCACCATTCAGGACATGATGGATGCTTTGGAGAAGGTTGCAGGGAAGGATAAGCTCGATCTATTAAAGGAGACGGAGGATCCGACCCTCAGACCGATTTTGGAGTCCTGGCCTACACGCTTCGACAATTCCCAGGCTATTTCACTGGGCTTTAAGCGGGACTCTTCGTTTGAGCAAGCAGTAAGAGATTACCAGTTGGAGATAGGACAGCAATAAACGCGATTGCCGCTGCCTAAGCCTGTCGTGCTCCACACAGTGTACAATGCCCATGACGTTTTCTCAGCTAAAACATAAGTGACGAGTTTCATAAATGACAAATTAGAGCATGTTATTACACAACACCAATCATGACCATGGCTTCCACTTCCCATATGAACAACTCCCTAGATATCATACCACCCACCCACCACCCTAATATGTCTCGGCTCACTACTTCCAAACCTGAAAATACCTTAGCAAGCGTCCAAGCCAAAATCAATAACTTTCCCAAACCTGTCCATCAATAGCAACCAGCCGATTAAACAACTGATTGCGTGTCTTCATAGCCGTGAGCTGATACTTCTGCTCGGGCAACTTCCCCGTAAGCACCATCCCATCTACCACCTCCTTACTACTACCCACCGCCCAACCCGTGACCAACTTCCCCTTCCACCCAAGGCCACCAATCTTCCTCATCTCCAGAATATCCGTAACAGGCATCTTGAAGAGCACTGTACCCTTCGGCCGATGCTCCAGACTAGGCTGATCCAATTGCACGGTCTGGTCCGTCGTGAAGTAAAGCAAGGGTGGCTTCTGGGACTGGTCAAGCACCACGACGCCTCGCTTGCCTTTGTATCGCCCATCAAATTGGATAGGGCCTGATGGGAGTGTGACTTTGCCTTTACTGCGGAGCACACCTACGCGGGGTTTGGCGTGCTTGGAGCCGGCGGCTGCGCGGGCTCGGTCAACGGCAAGCTTACTTTGGATGCCGGTCGCTGTGGTGCCTCGGAAGAAGCCGATCATGCGGTTCATGAAACCCTTCTTGGGCGGTTTCGGGTGCACTTCGTGTTCTTCGACGACGGGTTGGGGGGATGGGGCGATTGCTTGGTTTATTTCTTCTTCTGAGGCGGGAATGTTGATGTCCTTGTCGTCGACGGGGGCCGGGTGGTTTGGTGTTTGGTGGAGTGAGTGGGATGGTGGTGGTGGGAGGGGGGCACCGTTTGCTTCGCCGATACGGAGAAGAGTTAGGGTGAGTTGAGCGTTTGTGGGTATTCCTTTCAGGAGGGAGCTAGGTGTGGTGTTAGCACTAAATGAATGTTTTGTTTAAGGTGACCGGGGTTGCGTACTTTTGGAGCTCCAGCAGTTTCTCCCACCGGGGATACTCGCGGTTCAAGTATGTCACAGCACGCCAGATGATCGGGTCGCCAAAGAAGGCAAAGCCAGTACCAAAAGTAATCATTTTGACAAAGACGTAGCTGGAGGTCAGGAGTGAGATTAGGAAGCCAACCGATAGAACGGCTGTTAGGCGGACGTAGGGAGTCACGATCGAGAATGGTGGAGTTGGTGACAAAGCACTATGTTGAGTTAGAATGAATGTGTGGTCCTCGATGCTGCAAGTTGTACATACTTGCCAAACCGCTCCCAAGTGTCAATGATATCACTTAGCACGCGCATTGACTTATTAGCAGCGTTGTAGACGGTATCTCTCATGGGTTGCCTAGTTTTATCATGAGCATCGTCCGGGGCTTCACCATGAGCAGCTGTCTGTGCATCTGCTGCGCTGGTCGCAAGCTCCATCGCGTCTGGAACATTTTCTTCCATTGGGGCATCATCGGGTGTGCCTTGATCATGCTTGCCGGCCACACTACCGACAGCGACACTAGCAACGCTTGTGAAAAGGTTGCTAGCCTCTTGTTCAGCTGCTTCACCCTTCATGTTCTCGGGTGCCCCAGTGATACTATCATGGGAACCCAAGACACCGGCTTTAGGCTTTTGCACGCCGCCAGTATCCTTGTCCACTAGGGCTATAGGAGCAGGAGGGAACAGGTATGACCTGCTATCAGGGCTGATAACAAGCACTATGAGGAGTGTGAAGATAGTTGGAGCAAGCAGATCCAAGGCCCACGCAGCAAAGTAAACCTAAGATTAACACCAGTCAACCGAGTCAGAGACGAAGGGACATTTCCAGTTGTAACCTACAGCACAGAATGCTGCTGTCCGTTGGCGCTCCCTCCATGAGCGTAGCCTAGCAATATGATTGACGAACGAAGTTAACGACACAACAATAGTTGTGTAGAATCGCTCAAGGGTGGCGCGCAGTTTATCAGGGGAGAATTGCTCATCTTCGGCCCGGTTGAGGTCCAGTCGTTGCAGGGGAGAGTCCGGCACTGCTTTCACGTAATAGATTTGCTGTACTAAGGTCAGTACGGGGAACTCATAGTGGTAGGTGTAGAAGCAATACCTTGTTGAAACGTCGAATAAGCATCCAAAGATCTTCATTTGAGATTCCGGACACGAGCTGCTCGTCAAGCTCGTCGGCGTGTTGATTCCAACCCAAGTCCGTGACGGTGTCTGTTTGCCCAGCCTTTTGAGCTAGTCCTTTATCATCTTGGTCCACCTTGGAGAGAACATGACTGTCTGTTGGGCCGCTAATCTCGGTGGTGGTGCGATCAGCCGCGAAGATATCGTTGCCGCTGGTCTTCGAGCTATACGCGACAGGCTCAGCTGGTTTTGTTGGATCCCTCCGTGACATATTGCACAAGAAATTAGTATTTACGCATGTATAATAGAGGCAAATATGGGCACAGAAATGGAGAGATTAGATGCGCTTTGAGGGTGTCTTGAAAGCCGGGGTAGGCAATACGTCATGGCTGTGTCGTCACGGACCGGATCGTGCAAAAGCCTGGAATCTCAGGACTGCGTCAGCATTCAGTTCCTGGGCTCCGATCGATGTAGTTCAGGGGTACCTGAGAATAGCTTACTAGTACTCGATCGATTGCTACTCCCTTTTTCTCCTTTCATTTTATGATAGGTGTAGTTCTCTCCATTAATGTCGCCGACGCAACTGCATACTAGACTACCCAACCAATCACTACTTAGTGTGGTATTGCATCGCCACATGTGTGGCTTTACTGTGGCGCAAAATAAATCTTGCCTAAATAGGTAATACGCGTGAAGGACTTCCCGAAGCCGCGTTCCAGAATAGTAGATTCGTTCTCCGCCTCCCAGGCCTAGAACCCAACTTTAGCTTTTGCCTTCAACTTATGTTATCTACTCTGTAGTGTCTGACACCTTTATTCCTGTCTCTGCAAGCACCATGTCAATGCGATAAAATCCCTAACAATGAGTGAAACGTGCGCCAATCCCCTACTACTGGGGTGGATCAAAGAATGGCTAGACGAGGCTCGAGAACGCAACAGCAAGGGCGCCATAGTGTCAGTACTATTTCATGACACGATACAATGATCGAATTTGATGCTGAATTATGCACAGATACAAAAAGGCGTACGAGTCGATGAAAGCTTGTCCCTTAGTTTTCCAACACCCCTCCGAGGCTCAGCAGCTAAGTGGACTCGGCCCAAAACTATGTGAGCGCTTGACCGAAAAGCTAAAGGCTTATTGCGAAGAAAATGCACTTCCAATGCCCGAACATCCTCAAAAATGTAAGTATCGTTAGTACATTGTGTCTAAGCAGGCCCTAAAAATCGTAGCGGCAAGCAGCAAAAGAGCATCCGATGAGGGCACAGCAGAAAGTCAGCCAGCCAAGAAACCTCGAAAGGCAAGACCTTATGTCCCGACTTTACGATCTGGCCCTTATGCGTTGATCCTAGCCCTGGCAACCCTTAATGAGAACTCTTCTCAAGGCCTAACCAAGGCACAACTGATTGACTTGGCACAGCCGAATTGCGATAGTTCATTCACGGCACCTGCCGAGTCGTCCAAATTCCATACAGCCTGGAGCTCAATGAAGACGCTCTTGCAGAAGGAAATTGTATATGATTTCGGGCGTCCTCTGAAGAAGTACGCACTCACAGAAGAGGGATGGGAGGTGGCGAAAAGGATGAAGAAGGTCGCCCTGCCGTCAAATCAAGGCACTTTGGCGTTTGGGAATCAATCGGTAACAAATCCATTACCTAGTATGCTATGACGATGTCTAACCTGCGTAGGGGCCAAGCACAAGCCATACTGGGGACACCCAGTTGCAGGACAACATGGGTGGCAACGGCACAGAGATAATCGACGATGAGGAGACACCCACAGCCCATAACGATACCCAAAGATGGGAACCTGCTTCTGACGGAACAGTAACTCCCATAACAATCCCTCCCGACAGCTTTACGGTCCAGCTGGTTCTGGATAACCGCGAAGTTCGATCATCCAAAGACAGAGACTACATCACCAACGAACTACACAAAAAGGGAGCCAGTCCCGAAGTGCGCGCACTAGAACTAGGCGACGTCATGTGGGTAGCTAAATTCCACAATCCGACGTTCCTCTCCCAGTACGGCGAGGAAGGCGACGAAGTCATGCTCGACTGGATCGTTGAGCGCAAAAGAATCGACGATCTCATCAGCTCCATGAAAGACGGACGGTTCCACGAACAGAAGTTCCGTCTTCGTCGTTCAGGAGTGAAAAACGTCATCTACCTCATTGAAGAATTCACCGTCCCCTCAGACCCTAATACCGCCATGGCCGGCAAGTACAACGAAATGGTAGCGTCCGCCATAGCCTCGACGCAAGTCGTCAACGGCTACTTTGTTAAGAGAACTAAGAACCTCGACGATACAATCCAATACCTAGCTAGAATGACCCTCCTGCTCCGCAGAATGTTCAGTCCATCTGCCGGCGGTGTACCATCCTCCACCCTCTGTCTAATCCCTAGTCGCCAGCTCTCCTCCTCCCAATCATACCTCACGGCCCTGGAACGTCTCCGAGCAGAGAGCCCTAAGACCACTTACGCCGTCACCTTCTCCACATTTTCCGCTCTAACCTCCAAATCCGACGTCTTGACCCTCCGAGACGTGTTCCTGAAAATGCTCATGTGCATCCGGGGCGTAACGGGCGAAAAGGCACTCGAGATTCAACGGCGGTGGCCGACTCCGCAGGCATTCATCCGTGCTTTTGAAGAGCTTGATCCTCAAGACCGGGAGAATATGGTTTCAGAACGGATGCAAACGCTCGTTGGACGGAAGAAGATCGCGAAGGTCCTGAGCAAGAAAATCGCAGAGGTATGGGGTGAGGATGGTTGATCATTCTTTAGGGGGATTGGAATTTACTATTTAGAATTGAATTGCGAGCGAATGCATGAGAGCGGAATTCAATAGAGTTTCTAGACGAGTTATATAGCAGCGCACTATTGGTCGTTTGTTGTGTAACTGATGACCAGTATTTCCAGTTAGTAAAGAAATTCTGACAAGAACCTCAGTTACAGCGCACACTGTGAACTACGAAATGTTTAATAAGTGCTTACTGAATACTAAGCATACTTCCATACGTAAATCATTGACATTCAATCTCATCATCATCACCAGGACGATCTAAATGTCATCAACCATCCATATCATAGCAATGTCCCGAATAACAAAACCATATCCCACTAACAAATCATGAACCAAAAAATACCAGATAGCAATAGCCTTGTGCCCGTAGTAACCACACTAGAACGAGGCGCCCCCGAAATATCAAGCACCAGCACCACCTAAGCCCCCAACCCAAACACCCTCTTAATCGACCTGCGACTAATCCCCAAAGCAAGACTACTACAAACAACCGAAATACTACTCAACGCCATCGCCAACGCCGCCCAGACCGGACTAAACCTCCAATGCGTATCAGTAACCACAAGCTCCCCACCCACCATCTCCTGCTTATGCCCACTAACAATCGGATAGAAGACACCAGCAGCGACAGGCACCAAGCAGCAATTATAGATCAACGCCCAACCGAAGTTCAGCTTGACGCGGTTGAAGACACGACGGCTTAGCAAGACAAGTTGCAAGATGGTGTCGAGCTCTGAGTTGAGGAGGATGAAGCTTGCGGAGTTCATGGCGACATCGGATCCCGACGCCATGGCGATGCTCACGTCTGCTGCGGCGAGGGCCGGGGAGTCGTTGACGCCGTCGCCGACGAAGGCGACGATGGAACGGTTGTTGGTGGGGGCTCGCTGGCTTTCTGCTTCGGAGTCGGTCTGCGGGGTGAAGTTGTTGTTGCTGTCTTGGATTTGACGCACGAAATCGGCTTTGCCTGCTGGCATTACGTTTGCCATGACGTTAGAGCGCGGAATGCCTACCATGTCGGCGACGGCGTGCGCGGTTGTTTGGTTGTCGCCGGTGCACATATATACATTGACTTTGCGCTTTTGGAGCTTGGAGATGACTTCGACGGTGTCGGGTCGAATGGTGTCGGAGATGGCGAAGACGATGGCGGGGGTGAAGGAGGGTTCGTTCTGGGAACGGAGAGATAGGATCGCGGTGGATTTACCGGCAGCTTGGTACTTCGAGAGGGTTTTGGATAGGTAGCTTTCGTCGTAGTCTGAGGTTGCTAGGCTGTGTAGGAGACGTTGGTTGCCGATGGCAGCCTCGTATTGAGTGGGCGTGTCGGATTTCTCATTGGGATTCGGCATTGATACAGCGAACGTGCCTTTCATACCTTGACCGGATCTTTCTTCGATGTCGGCGCTGGTAATCGTGACCGAGGGCTTTTCCTTGCAGAAAGCCGAGATGGCTCGAGCGATTGGATGATTGCTGCTTTCTTCGAGCTTTCGGGCGAGCGTCCAAGCCACCTGTATCACGTCGGTGTCCGAAATGAGGGCTTCGTGTTCGGATACCTGCAGGCTGCCGCCCTCTGTGAGAGTTCCTGTCTTGTCGAACACGATGGCGTCGAGCCGGCTCGCTTCTTGGAACGCCTCACCTCCTCCTTTGACTAAGATACCCTGCTTAGCAGCTAGTCCACCGCCCACGAAAAGTGCCGTGGGAGCGGCGAGTGCGAGACCACAGGGGCAAGCCACGACGAACACAGCGATTGCAAATTCCAGAGCCCAGAATGTCCAGCCGCCGCGTGCAACGTCAAGGTAATCGTCAGGCAGTGTCCCTGACAGACCGAGAGCAAGCCAGATGACGAAAGTCAGGATGGCGATCAGCGTGATGATCGGAACAAAGTGAGAAGTGAGTAGATCTGCAACCCGTTCCAGCGGCGCACGTCTACTCTGACCTTCTCGCACCACGGAGATGATCTGATCCAACATCGAGGAGCCCCCGATTGCAGTGACCTTGACCTCGACGGGCTGACCGACGTTCACGGAACCGGTGTAAACTTGATCACCTGCTGACTTGTGGACGGGTTTCGACTCTCCCGTCAACGAGCTTTCATCAAACTGGTATGAAGCAGACCCAACGACAACACCGTCGGCAGGTGGCGAGGCGCCATGAGGTATGCTAACCACATCGCCAATTTCTAGCAGGTCAATATTGATCCGCTCGTAGCCATCTTCTGCATGTGTGTTTTCGTCACCGGGTTGGTCTGCGTCACTTGCGCTGATTCTCAGCAAAGCCTCTGTCGGGCGCAACTTTCCAAGAGATGCGACCGCATCCCCGGTCTTCGCTTTGCTGTACGCTTCCATGAACCGCCCGGCGAGAATAAACATGGTGAGAAACACAACTGTGTCGAAATATGTTGAGCTATGTGTGTTGGACGCTGAGCCCATAGCGGCGTCCATAATAAGAACAGCCAGAGACGAGACGTAGGCTACGGTCGTTCCGGCGGAGATGAGGAGGTTCATGCTTCCAAACCGGTAGAACCTGCGCAGGAGCGGTGCACGACTTCCAGGACGCCAAAGCGAGTAGATTTCTTTCATCGCCCGCACGTGGAAGATATCAGCGCCGTAGAACATAACCGGGGTTGTCATGATAAAGAGGGCCCATTCGAGGCGCGAGGCATCTCCGGCCCACATCGGTTGTTCCAAAAACTTGCGAACCTTGTTGTTGGATGACACCAAGCTCATGAATACAATACCCAGTATAAACGTGGGAATTGCTACAAGCAAAACAAAGATAAATCGGGTGAACAGTCGGCGTCTTTCGTGGCGCTGCATAGCTCGGGACCGATCTTCGACGCTTGGAGGACGATAAACGGTGGCAGTGAAAGCATCGTGAGCTGATTCGATTGTCCGAAGTATACTTCTCACTGTGAGAGAGGGGGGTTTTGGTGTATACGTAACCGCAAGAATCGGATTCTTAACGGACAGGTTGCCTTCGACCTTAACATCCGGGAAAGCTTCCAAGGACTTGACAACTTTGTCCGGGCAGTGATGGCAGAACATACCATCCACACGGATGGACAGTGTCCTCTCTTCCAGAGGCTCGTCATCACTATCTGCCACCAGGGCTGTCACATTGTCGACCGAAGCATCATAGCCGAGGTCTTCAATCTTTTCCACAATCTCGTCAATATGGTCACGGCCCTCAAACTCGACTCTTCCGCTGTGGGTCAAGAGGTTGATCGAAACAGTAGTAACGAAAGGAAGCTCCTCCAGCCCTCGCGTAACCGCTCCGGAGCACGAACCGCACGTCATGCCGCCAATAGCAAGTTCAGCGACGAATGTCGAAGGGGCCTCCTTGCGTGCGGGAGCTGTTTTGATCATATTGACCTCATCAAGCGACGCTTCGAAACCGATATCCTCAATCTGCTCGACAACCTTGTTGATGTTTGACTGCGGACCAGTAAAGACAACAGTAGCACTGTTGGTAAGGAGGTTGACGGTGATGTCCTCAACAAAATCCAACTCTTTCACTTCGTTTGTGATGCTGTTGGCGCATGAAGCACAGCTCATCCCACCAATGCTCACACGTGCACCAAACCTTTCCTTCTCTTCTGGATGGTGAGGCGTCTTGGGCGACTCCACGGGTGTAACATCTTCAACTGACCCCCGGGCTACTAGACTTTGCACTTCTGATTGGGATGGACCGGGCTTACCACCCGTTCGAAGACCACTATAGCGGTCCCGAGGGCGGCGAGCAGCATCTGCCAAATCTTCGCCGGCCGCGAGGCTATCCAGTTCTTCTTTCCTGCAAGCGTCACAGTTGTCGACATGTCTGCTTCCCAGAGCTGGAACTCGATTGATGTTAGGCTGGGTGGAGAAAAGGACTGAGTCGCGGGGTAGCCATGAAGTCGTATCAAGTTCCGAGATGACTGATCCTCTCGGTTCATATGTAGTGACATGGTGAACCTCAAAGGCAGCTTCAACCAAAGCCGAAGCAAGGCGTGACGGGTCGGTTTCTGTGCTGTGAAAGACGCGTACTTCGTGGGTAAGAACCGACACATCGATATCCCTCACCCCATCAATGTCTGATAGGACTTCATTGATGTATGCGACGCAAGAGGAGCAATGAATGTTGCTGACAAAGAATATGCTTCTGAGGAGTCTCGAGTCCTGTCCAGCAGGAACTCGAGAGTTGGTGTCTGCTGCCGTCGGCGACATTGTCGGAGGGAGAAAGAAAAGAAGGGATAGGCTCAGCCACTATTTGGGCGCCCTGCCTGACCGTGAGAGAGCTCCGGCAGGGAAAGGAAATTGTTTTATAAAGAGAAAAACAGAGAAGACGTGGACGGCGGGTCTTGCCAGTTGATGTGAAAAGGCGCCTGAGCTCTGACGGGATTTGACACCCCACGAAGACGAAACAGATAATGCAACACGCTTCGCTGGTGTATTAGCGCAGGGAAATGCCTATCGAGCAATGAGAGCGACAAGTGGACAGTACTGCGAGGTAAGATGTTGCTTTTCCTGTCTGAGATTGAGTATTGCCTACTGACAGCGGCGCCTATGTTTGCAGATCGCAATTGCTCAGTCGGCAAGTAAGGGATGAGGAAGGGCGAAGTCTCTACAAATAGGCCAGAAAAGAGGGAGGGGGAGAGCGAAAGAAATATAAATCATCATTGATATTATTTTCTAAGCTCTTCGATCAGGAAGAGGGAGGGAGGCAAAGCTGCGCGTTTTGTGCGTCAAAAGAAGAAGTGAGGAAGTTCTGGGGCCGCGCACAAATGGCGCATTCCACTCAATTACCCACTTCACCCTCCATGGAGAAGAAGTGTTACTGTGTAGGTGATGTAAGTCATATGTACGAAATGCCCCTGGATGACTCCATCAAACTTCCCCATATCGGGCACATGTGATTGATGAGTTTTCTGGATTCCTCCGTGCTAAACCGGCATTATCTGCCGATGCTACGAGTATCCCTGTGGAGGAGAGTTGAGAGGGTGGACTTACATATGTGGCGAATTTTTCTTAAAGCTCCGGCATTTTGTTGGTTTGGATTGGCTCACTAAGCAGTTAGCGGGTCTCTTAATGGATTCGGTCCCAGATTAAGCTGCCAGGGGAAAAGATGGACTTGAAGAGAGTGATCGTCACAGATTAGATTCGGCTGATCGGGGCTGCTTTGGACGCCCATTTCTTGGCTTAAAGATATAGAAGCAGCTTCTTTGAACATAAAATATGGATATGTGCACGTTGTCTTCACTATAGTCAGTTGTAATTCACAATAGGTGAGGAGGGCGAACTGCCAGACAGCTGCAAACGGCCAGTCATTGCCTAATGAAACGGTACCACCGGACTTCTAACCAGGATAGCTTTTCTATAACAGATAGAGTAGAGCGGATCTCTTATCCAGATTGAGAAATGAAATGGAACAAATCCATGATTCGAAGGGGTATTGAGGCAGCTGCAATGTCAGCCAGCCTGCAACGGGGACTACAGCGGTTCGGGAAAATGCCTCCTCGGGGACTCGAACGAGAGACAGCGAGGAATGAGGCAGAAACGAAGGCTTCGAGACACGGCAGGCCACGTGACTCTTCCATTGGACCACCGCGACAGGCGCGTCATAATTTTCACGTCGGTGATGCGTCGCGCCCACTTGAATACCTCTATTTCATTCTTCCCTCTTTCATCAACTACTACTTATACTTCCCAGCTGCGGGTTGACCTCTGTAGCTATAGCCACTTTCTTTTCACTCTATCTAGTTTATCAAGTGAATCCGTGGTTCTGGCTATCTTTCACCCGTTTAACCCCTCCGTCAGCCCCCTCTGATATCTTGAAACCCCGCCTGGAGTGTTCTTTGTGCGCTCGAGTTTCCCTTATAGCCCCTCCAACTGGCTCGTCGCTGCATCTCCAGCTCGACGATTGGACCACGCTACGTCCAGGATCATTGTGTGGACCCTATAGGCATGATAGACCCTGTGTGATCGATTGTCTTTTACTATTCCTCTTATTGGCGCAACCTACTGCCACCGCTCCTTGAACATCATCGACCCCACAGAGCCATCCCGTCACGTTCTCAATGTCGGTCCCTAGGCCTGGGATGCGTGCTCCCATTCCCCCACGGAGCGGCCCAAGGCCACCTATGGGAAGACTGGCCAGTCTGAAATCGCCCAATCCAACTCCCATCAGGCGTCCCCAGCCAATTTCTCGGCCTCAACCCGCCAGGCCAACTACCCACCCCAAAACCTCAACTTGCCCTAACCCGGGCTGTCCTGCTCCTCACATCGTTGAGGATGACGGTCAGAAGGTTTGTTCCGGGTGTGGTACTGTCATCAGTGAAGCAAACATCGTCTCCGAAGTGACTTTCGGGGAATCGTCGTCGGGTGCGGCAGTCGTTCAGGGTACCTTCGTCGGCGAAGATCAGTCCCATGTCCGCAGTTATGGCCCTGGCTTTCAGCGTGGAGGCGCTGAAAGTCGCGAGATTACGGAACAGAACGGCAATCGGTACATCACCCAGCTGTCTCGTGCCTTGACTATCCCAGAGAGTGCCATGAAGGCTGCTGGTCAAGTGTTCAAGCTAGCAGTCGGATTGAACTTCATTCAAGGTCGAAGGACCAAGACTGTAGCTGCTGTATGCTTATATATTGCCTGCCGTCGGCAGGATGGCAACACCATCATGCTCATCGATTTTGCCGATGTTCTCATGATCAACGTGTTCAAGCTCGGTCGGACCTACAAAGCACTACTCGACGAGTTGCGTCTGGGTGGTAACGTGTTTCTGATGAACCCGATTGATCCGGAGAGTTTGATCTACAGGTTTGCCAAACAGCTTGAATTTGGGTCGGCTACTATGCAGGTGGCGAGTGAGGCGGTCCGTATCGTACAGCGAATGAACCGCGATTGGATGACGACGGGTCGTCGTCCCGCTGGTATTTGTGGTGCCGCCTTGATCCTTGCAGCCCGAATGAACAACTTTCGCCGCACCGTTCGAGAGGTTGTCTACGTCGTCAAAGTCACCGAGATCACTATCAGCCAACGTTTGAACGAGTTCAGCTCCACCGAAAGTGGTGAACTTACAGTCGACCAGTTCCGTTCCGTGCAGCTGGAGAATGCGCATGACCCACCTTCTTTTGCCAGGGCTAGAGAAGGAAGGAAGCCTTCACGCTCATTCAAGAGACGGCCCACGGAAACGGCTGCGGAGATTGAGGGTGATATACAAGAAGCACAGCAACATAGGCGTGTCGACTCAGACGGCTTCGCTATTCCTAGTCTTCCTATTGACCCGGCATTACTAGCGGCCAGCGGCGGTCAACGTCGCCATTCGACTGCCTCTGCTGCAAGCGAAGCCATTTCGGACGCTGGCGAGGAGCACGCCAAGTCCGGTCGCCAGAAGGGTCCGAAGAGACCTCCGCTTCCAGCCCCTTCGCCAGATCAGATTGCATCGGAGGAGGCTTTGGAGAATGAAATGACCGCGCTATTGTCGAAAGGATCGAACATGTTCGAGTCCAGTGCCGGTCCTCCAAAGAAGGTCGTGTCTGATAATACGGAGATTGACGCTGCTGAGTTTGAGTCGGATCCGGAGGTGTCTAACTGTTTGCTTTCTCCTGCAGAAGTTGAGATCAAAGAACGAATCTGGGTCCATGAGAATAAAGATTATCTTCGGGCCCAGCAAGCCAAAGCGCTAAAGCGAGCTCTGGCGGAGGCTGATTCCCACCCTGGCGCAGACGGTCGCGTGCACAAGCCGCGGAAGCGCCGCCGCGGTAGACTTGGCGACGTAACTTATCTTGAAGGTGAGGGTGAAGACGGGGATGGGCGCAGCACTCGGGCTTCCACCCCTGCCGAAGCTACCCGCCGGATGTTGGAAAGAAGAGGGTTCAGTAAAAAGATCAATTATCGTCTTTTGGAGTCACTCTTTGGCGATGAAGGGGCTGACGAAGCCTCCAAACCTAAGGAAGAGAGTTTGAGCCGAAGCCAGAGTCGCAGCCAGAGTGTCGTGTCACGACGCAGCGCCAGTATCGAACCAGAGGCGGCCTCGAGGCGTACCGGGCTTCTAACCCCCTCAGCTAGCCAACCTGCTGGAGCTTCTTTGTCTGCCGCGGCTCCGGCGCGTGGCTCAGCGGTACCCGCTGCTCAAGCCCCGACGGATCAAGGTGGAAAAGCGAGTGAGAATGAGCAGGTCCTCGGTCCTGCGGATGGAGCAAAGAACGAGTATTCAGATGACGAGCAAGAGGATGACTACGACGAGGATGATGACATGGAGGATGATGGGGTTGACGCGGCGCTTGCTGGAACCTATGGTGACTATTACGACGAGGGGAGTGATTATGGTAGTGATTGATTAAAGTTACGATGATAGCAGGGTTGTATTTCACCGCAAGGCATGTACATAAGAAGTCCGGCGCCAAGTCGACGGGAATTTGATACCCAGTCATTCCAGGCTTAAATCCTGAAAAGCAACAGATGGGGGCATATGATCTTCTTCGCCTTGTTCGTTCCTTCCTTGATGCTTGTCTTGCCATTTTGAGGCCAATATCACGTGTGGCAGGCAGGCATTGAAACGAAAGATGAGAAACGCGTAGTCTGCAACTTCCCCCCACCTTCCCCCAACTCAAGTCCATACACTCCACCAACTGCATCATCTATACCATCAAACCTTGTACTTATCTCGCTCTCTGACTCTTCTTCGGTCTCGAGCCGCATTCCCCGGTTGGTTGGATATGGATCCCACCACTTCGAGGCAAAGCCTTGCAGAACCCTATTCTCAGGAGGCTTCATCGATACCATCGTCACTATGGCCCTCACCCGCATGCTGGCAACCCAGAATGTCAGTAAAATTGGAACTATTAATAGTTTTTTGAGCTGCCTAGATTGTGACCTTCACGATCCCGGCTTAATTAAGGCAAGGGGCTCCCCCTTCTGGGAGTTTGATGTTGCGGGTTTGTACGTTCAGTTCGACCACCTGCTGTTGAAGGGGTGCTCTCCAGTATACGATGGTTGAAGCACATCGATCTACACTTCAGCTACTGTAACTTGCTCCTATGCGCTGACGCTACATATGAGTCATGGTCTGTGGTGGTGATATATCTATCTTGGAAATGATATTCGAACTCTCCTAGCCCTGTGCCAGTCGGAAGTCGATCCTCCGCAGACCCTGAGGAATGTACAAGGTGGGCAGGTCGTATCGTGAATGCTAGCAACCCGTCGTCTGACTCGCTGGTTCTTGTTGCAG